CACTCAGGTCTTGATCAACGCTTTTCAGTCTTATATAATCAGTTGATTTTTTTGTTAATAGTAAGACTAAAAGGGTCCAAAGATTTTTGGGTGCATTTTCAGACCAAAATTCACAGAAAATAAACTAACATGAAGTACCATCTGCATTGATCTTTCCACATTTATCCATTGCCCTGACCTTCGCATTTTTCCATTTATTAAAATAACAAATAACGTAAAATTAAAAATCCACGCCTGTTGCATTGTATGTAAAAATTATATGCCCGCTCAAGACAAGCGCATGAAGTAACTTTGATAACTACCTGGTTTACAAGATAATTAAGACATAAAATATATACCTGAATACATGTATCTGTAATAATAATTAATGGTTACTTTTTGCGATTGATTTCACGACTTGTAATTAATATTTTAATGTATAGCTAAAGGCATTGGATTTGCGCAGGGGTTTTCTTTGATTTATGCATGGCGAAACTTCACTGTCCCAGTATGTTTAAACTGGCTTAAAAGGTCGTGGTCTATTAATATGATAAATCGGTCGGACGTTTCGCCTACATTTCAGTCAAATAATTAAGTTTTTCCGCTTGTTGCCAACTAATGCGGTTAATTCTGAAACAAAGTTCGGGATCGATTTAGGGAAAACCTGTCTGCATCCCACCCTTTGCACATACGTGCATACTACGTAGTAAAATACAGCATTGTAGCAATTTGGCAATAGGGGAAAAATCTGGGGCCGCCCAGCTAAATTGAAGCCAAGGCCGTCGCGGCGCGAACGTCGGCAAAACGCGTCGGGACGACCAAGTTAAACCGTGTTGCCAATTTGAGCGTCTGCGAAAAAAAATGCATTTAGATTTTTTTCGGCCAATGTCAACATCCCACAGTCAAATCTAGTAGCTGTCTGCCTGAACCCAGTTTCCCGCAAAACAACAGCTTTGCTTAAGAAAACACGGAAAAACCTTCGATAGACGTCGCCGCAGGGTTGTCGAATTGCCGCCTCCAGAGGCCAAAGGGAAAGTGGGAGAGGGTGGCACAACGCCCACAGGGTTTGTTTTGGTTTAGTCTAGGGATCGCCAAGGGGGCTCTAGGCGAGAAGGCTCTGTAATTGGAGCAGGTTAAGCTAATATAGCGGCGCCTTATTTGCGGACGGTGGTTAAAACACAATAGTCTTCGGCGTTGTGGAACTTGTTGCAAATCAGCCATTACTAAAGCCCGAATGCCCACTAATTTAAAAAAAGTTTTTCAGGTATCCGATTTTTTTCAGAACATCTGACAACAAGGGGGCAGGCTTGGGATCACTTGAAAACCAAATGTGTGCAGATTTGCCTTTAATGCAAAAATATTAAAATCCCGTAATTCAAACAGTTGAATCTGGTATTTATTCCCTTGTTTTCAAATCAGTTTGGCGTGTTTTGCGTTTTGGTGCGAACAATCGGAACTTATTTCATTAGTGAATTACTCAAGGTTCCTGACTTCAAGCCTGATTTACCAACATCTTTTTGCTAGTTTGAGAGAATCACCCTGTATAAACGCTCAGAAAATGACAGTTTGGCCAAGAAATTCAGCCCGCTTTAGTCAGCAATGGAATTGAATTAAACAAGCTTAACCAAATGTTGATTTTCCCGCAACTTTTCCTTGTTTTTACAGCTCCATCTGCATAAAGTTCATTAAGAATGAAAGAAACTGTTCATTTATCGACGAAAGAAAGCACATTGTAAAACGATCATTTCAAGTATGTTTCTGGTGCTGCCAACACATGCAGTAAGAAAAACGTATAATTATCAAAATAGTATGAAAAAGGTTTTGAAAAAAGACTTGAAAAATGTTATTAAGTCAGCGACAAAGTGAAGAACGAAGGGATGAAGAAAATTTGTAATTTAATAATAAAAAACAGTGGCGAAAGTACGTACTTTCCACCAGGAGATCGAGAAAAAGCTATTAGCACTTCTCATTAACCTTTAAATAACTAAATAACTATTACTTATCGTAATTAGATGTTTGTCTTGTAAGCAAACCGACACATTTCCGCATGACTGGAATTTTTAGAAAATTTTTCCGAGCCAGATTGAGTCCTTCAACCCACTTGAGGTCAAAGGCTTCAAATGTTTGTCTATTCACTAGTTTGGGGTTCACACCTTAAACTTTCCGATGATCAATCGCTATTTATAGCCAATTATTTCATGAAATTTCCTCAGCCGAAAAACTGCCTAGAATATGCATAATAAACGACATTTTTTCACTGGTTTTGTTGCCTTACATTGTATGTAACACATTACAGATTGTGTAACTTTTTCATTATCAACAAAGTAGATATTCATTCGATTTAATCCGGCAGAAACAAAATGATCGTAAAGACGGCACCGTAGCAGTCGCCGCCAATAAAGACGTGTATATGTCTCATTAAAATTCACATGAATAGAAAAAACCGTTTGAATGAATGTGAAAACAAGGTCAAGAATGAGCACTTGGTTGGCTGAAAGATTTTAGTTGAAAATCAAGGTTTGAAATCAAAACGCCTTTCGACAACAAAAAGTGACTTCAGCGAGGTCATCACCTCGTCGCGTTTGAACAACGCGAAAAAAACAAGGCAAAACGGAAATTGACCAAAATTATTCAGCTTTTGTAACGGTACGGTTGCCTTGTACAAGAAGAAGAACAATTACCGAGTTTTATGCAAAACAATGTCCGCTAAAATTACAGCTTGAATATGCGGGTACTTGGACATCGTCTGTACTCACTGTACTGTGTTATTATTAATCTAAAATAGATTCTTAATGCAACCAAGTATCGAAATCGTTTCTTTTGCCACACGAAAAAGCCGCACAAAGTTCATAGTTTTAACTGGTAACTAGCAACGCGCCAGCAAACGGATTATGCCCAATTGACGTGAAAATTGATGAGCCTGTTCGGTTAATTGAAAGTTATACCATCAGCCAATTTGCAGGTAATTGCCAGCCAATAGACATACAAGGGCCATTTCAGGTCGATTCGAATTCTCTCTCTTCAAAAACTCAAGATGTTCGGATGCATCTTCTAATTCTTGCTTAGAAACGTGCCGCGAGAAGTGAAGTCAAACATGCAAATTTACGAAGCACTGACATTATCAAGAGAAGCAAAAAATCGAAATTAATTGCCTAATATAAACCGCAGAAAGTAATTTTCTGGCAAAAGTTGATTTAGAAATGTGCATGTTGTAAAGTTGTGTCTTGTAAACAAGTATTTTCTGTAGTCTCTAAACATGTTCGGCTTTTAACAACTTGGATGCAGCTTCCACGCTCTTTCTGCATGAGATTGATTTAATTACGGGAATAGCTTCGGCGGAAATTAATATGGCAAAACGTCGGCAATTTAAAAAACCGGGCTTTTGTTTTTACAGAAGTAAAGTACATACAAAGAACTCAGACAAAAACAGTCTTTCCATAGTCAATTTAATAAAAAATTGAACTTGATTCAATAGCGTGAATGGAGTCGATGTAAAAAACCAAAGCCTGTTTTTACAATTGCCGTCGTTTCGCCATATTTATGTGGGAGTTCAGGGCCTCAACGTAAGTTTCCCTGAGAATGAAAACGGGAAATTATAAAAAATTAGTTCAGTTTTTGCCAAAGTAAGAAAGCGGCAAAAACTCGTTTTTATAGTCAATTTAATAAAAAAATTAGTTTGATTCAATAGCGGGAATTGGATGGATTTAAAAACAAAAACCTGTTTTCTAAAGTTGCCGACGTTTTGTCATATTAATTTTGGCATCCTCAGCCTATCCAATTCCCGCTTTTGAATCAAACATTTTCCCACACCTTGATTGCGGAAAAACTGTATATTTTCCTCAAATTCAAACTTCCACAACACTTTGAAGTACTTATTCTGAAGTAAAATTCTCAAATAAAGTGCAGTCGAAAAGCGAAATCTAGGAGAAAGTTGAGAATGGGATCGTAAACTGAGAAATGCGTCTGTTGAGAAATTGTAAGTCTTTGGGACAAAACCCTGATCGAGAAACCATTCTGCACTTGTTGATTGAATGCAAAAATTGATTCTTCTGAGGTCGACTTCTGAGAGAAAATCAAATTAAATCATTCGATTATGAACGAAATCGAATTAATTCGACATTTCCAAAACGTTTCGAATTAATTACACACCACCATAGTCGAATTCGCACTCGCAAAATGCACATGCATTTATTGACATCAGATAGAGATGAAATGGACGTGCTTTATCGGACCGGCGGTATTTTGATTTAAAAGAAAAGCATTAGAATGACGAATTAAGAGAAAAAACGAAACACTAAATAGGAATTTACCGGCATCAAAGAGAGGCGTAATATGAGACATGCCTTTGATGAAGAGATTGGAATTAAATGGGAGCGAGATATGTACTGATATTAGAGAGATTTAATAAGGACCGTTTTTTTACATTTCAAACCCAATAATGATGTGCCATACAGGTTGTATATAATTCATGTAAATTCATGAGCGAATGAAGATGAAAACTGAGCTTAATTTGCACAAAAATTGGACTAAAGTGTAACTGATTATTTCCAATTTTTGTTACATACAGTTACCAATGCCACAGTTGTATTTAATTCGAATTCTCATTTGAAACCTCGACTATAAACACAACTGATAATTCCCATAACTTAAAGTCGAAGAAGATACGCGCCATTCTTTTTGAAATGATTGTAACTGAAGCTGTAGCTAAAGACTTCCCAATAGAAAAACCTAAGAAACCATATTCCCAATGAAAAGAATGAAGAATAAGTAATTATGTAGTCGACTACCTACAACCCAAAAATAGAATCCCGGAAATGCCATTTAAAGGTTCTCAGGTAAACAAACAAGCATTGGCTGGTTGTTGCCTGCTGTATAGCGACATAATGTCTATTTTAAGGTGGACATTCTTTCGGTGGAATTTCCAAGAATGTTTGAAGATCTTGAAGAGGCAAAACGAAAATCCATCCTATTTATAAACACTTGGTCGTGAAGTGAATGCCGTGCGATAAATCGTTGCTTACCAAATTTGGGCTTAGGAATTTCGCCTTCTGGAAGTTCCTCTCCGTGCTGGAGGGTGAGGAAGTCCTTGAGCCAAACCTTGAGATCGTCCTCCCCATCGAACACAATACAAAAACAATCCAACTTGGTATAGAGAGCAATGACATGCTTGTGTTTCGAGTCCGTTTTCGTATTTATGTTGAAACAGGTCTTTAGGGCGATGATCCGTTTCGGTGGCAGGCCCGCTCGGAATTTTTTTTCTGAGTCGTAGTATTCGAGACGAGCGAGAGCATCTGGAGTTTCCGCTCGAAGAACGAAATATTTTTTGCGAGAAGTCTTCATTTTCTTGAAGACGCCGCATCGAATAATGTCACCGGAGGACGGCATGTGCCCGTCTCGCGAAACGGAACTTTTCATCGACATTTTTTGCACATTCAAAAATCGACGAAAAACAACCCCCGCGCGCACTCTTAAAAAAAAACACCCAAGTTTGTGCCTAAAACTGAACAACCATCACTGAAGACAGCATTTCCGAAGACCCGGATGGTGTCAACGATCCACGCAACTTTCTTCTTTCGTCTGGAATCGGAAACAGCGCCTTATTCTGACAGCAAACGACGCAAAATCTTGAATTCTTCAATAAACATTTAACTGCGAAGAATCGGACCGTGCGCGATAAAACTAACCTTTCAACGGCAGTAATAGCACTGACTGGATGGGGCTGTGTTCGCGCCAAACTCGCGTGTCGTACGTACTACAATTCATCCCGCAGCACAGATTCGGACTGAGCGAATGTTTTGGCGGCAAAAACCCTCCAAAACAAACACTGAAAAAAA